CTTCCTTCCTTCTTCCTCTTCTTCTTCTTCTTCTTTCTTTCCTCCAAGCCTCCACAGTCCACTTTGTTTTTGTTATTGATTACGTATGGAGAGTTAGTTGATGGTCCACCCACCCACCAAATAATTGCCAAAGCAAATGTTTTTTTTTTTTTGATAAGAGGTCCAAGAGCAAAAACCTGCATTAAGTTATTGCAGCTTATGTGGACGCTTAGCCATCTCAATCTGAAATTCTCTGCAATAAAATTACTATAACTATTTTGCCATCCGAGCCCTCCCAGAGTCCTGAAACAAAAACAACTATGTCAAACCTAACAAAAAGAGCAAAAAAAACATTACAAAAAAATCAGATCATCACAACTGATAAGGCCTTTATAACAATAGAAAAGTAAAACAAGTCACTATCCACACTATGCCCAGAAAAAACTTACTACATAAGAAAAACAGATTTGATGGTGAGAGGACAGACCCGACAAAATGAAGCAGTGCATAAACAATTTGCAAGAAACTTCAAGAAGTGCTCAAACTGGTTATTATATAATACTCGAAAGGTAAGTATTATCAGTCCACATAATAATATAAGTTGGACTGGTTAAGTGCATGGCTTTTGAGAGATAAAGAAGAACTTATCATGTCTACTTGGCATAGCAATCCACCACTACAGGAAAGAAGAAAAAGACAGAGAGCTCATTTCTTGTTGCCCCTTCGAATGAGCGAGACAAAGAGAGGAATCCAGAAAATTGGGCTAACATCAGATTTCCCCAAAGTATTTTAACATCCACAGAATATAATGTTTGGCAGCTTTTATGTGAATCCAATCTCTCTTTAGGGTCAAGAGAAACTTGTTTAATTACTACCCTACGAGAAATGAATGCTTGAATTTAGACAATACTGCTGTCGAGATAAGCTATAAATTGACAATTTCGAGATATTTGAAACGTGCAATATCAAGCACTGATATGGCCGAACAAACTGGAAATAACACTCTATCACAGGCCTGTAGTTTAACTGTGAAGGACTGGATAGGGAGGCTGAGTAAGCAAGTCACTATCTGTTGTATTTTTGGACTTTGATCCATTTTTCTTTCTTTTCCACAGATTTGTCTGCTTACGTGAGGAGGAGGAGAAGTGTAGTACCGTGACTATGTTGTATATCGCTGGCCATTTTCAGGCCTGTACTGCATTTCTTGCTGTTGTTTTTAGGAGTCTTTGCTGTTCTGACCACATTCAGAAATAACCCCACCAAAAAAAAAAGGAAGAAAATGGACAAAATTGAGTTATTTCGGTGCTGATTAATTTGAAATCTTTGCATGAAATGCACCGCAAATAATGCTAAGAAAAACTTGTCAAGCAGTACTTAGTCTTTTCCACTTTCTTACTACCTTTTTCTGTTCCCCCACATTTAGAATGGTGTACTTTAGATACCTAAAATATTATTAGTATTTAGGAGTCTGGGACTAGAAACAAACGAGGTGAATCAAGTCTGAGTTTTGATCCAATTAAGCCAAATCTCGATTTAGTTTTACTAAATTTGAGCTCGATGAGCGAGTTTGATCTCAAATTCGAACTAAATTTGAGCTCGATGAGCGAGTTTGATCTCAAATTCGAATCTATTGGAGTCAAGTTCGAGTTTAAAAAAATAGAAAGCAATTTTTTTATTTTTTATTTTTAAAAAATAAATAAAAAAATAATTTTTTTTAACAGATAATAAAATATTACGCAAGCTAACAAGTCTTTGGACTTGAATTCAAGCTCAACCTCAACTCGAATTGCTCGCGAGCGGCTCGACTCATATGCAACCCTAGTCGTATTAAAAAAAAAAAATTGCTCGTGAACTCGATAAAAATAAATAAATAAATACAAAATGAGACAAGTCTCATAATGGGAGCGGTCCTCTCAGGAATAGAGAGGAATAAAAAATAAAAAAGGATTAATCTTTTTAACACTGACAGTGTATACAATATCAACTTTGGATGAATCACAATCGTGCAAATTTTGAATTTGGAATTTAAATTTTGTACGCATATCATGAATCCAACAGCAATAGTGTATATAAGATTTATTCAATAAAAAAAGTGTAGAAATGTAAACAAAAAACGTGAGGTCATTGAGCAAGCCAAAAAACATGGATAAAAGAAGGATTAATTTCTATGACATTGCACGCATACTACTATCTCGATTAAATGCAGAATTATATGTAAAATTTAAATTTTAAATTTAAATTCAGATTTAAATCTAACCCTGACAGTATGTGTACTATCATTGGTGGATTTTAAATCTAATCATAAAAGTAGTGTATATATTGACAAATTTAAATGTGATAGTGTATACATTTTCAGTGTATATAAATTAACTCATACAAAAAACCTTGGAAAAGCAAGATTATCAATCACCATGGATGGATGTACATGAGGTAAGGCCTAAAGTTTTTCTTTTCTAAAGGAAAAAAAAAGAGAGAAATAGGTGGAGATTCTAAAGATGAAGAATCTGAGATTCCTTTCAATTAAAGCATGAAAAATGAAAAAGAAAATTTGCACATGTTCAAAGTATACATATTTGGTTATCATGATTGACCATTTCCTTTATTTTTGGCAGAACAATGCTAATATATGTACACATGATTAAGGATTAGGTGGATGAATCAGTAATGATTTCAAACTATGTCATCACATGTCTAACTGTATAGTAAATATATGTATAGGTTTATTTGCATATCCTATCCAATCTTCTATAAAATTTATCTTGGTCATAGAATAAATAAGATTCTCAGTCATCTTTTTATATTTTTTGTTAAAAATATTACATCATATAACAAAAAAAAAAAATCTTCTACACAAACATTTTTTTTTTGCTACAAAAATAATAAAGAACTCGTACGAGAATGAACTTCTTTTATGGACGAGTATTCAAGGTACTCGGTCCTTAACTTAGGGAAAAAAGCAAAAAAAGAAAAAAGAAAAAAAAGGTGTCTAAAGACAATTGAAGGCTCAAGAGTGTAGTACAAGTCAAATTCTGATGAAAGCAAACGTAGCACAAAAGCACAAGGCTCCTCTTTGTACTCCAATTATTCCATAATCCATCAGCGGCAACTGACTTTTTCATCTTCTTGCAACAAATCCAATTCTGCCAAAGCCAAGGGCCAAGCAACAGGCCAAAGCCATCCTCCCACCAACCATTCAACCCTTCAACCAATCCAAACAAAAACAAAAACAAAAACAAAAAACAGACTTGCATACCAAAGTCCCTTGAACCGCATCAATCAATCATCCTCATCCCCCATCAGATCAGATTATCTATCTAGTTCCAGACTAGTGGATAATCGATCAGAGTCTTCAAATCAAGCAAACTTCTTCAGAAAAACCAACAAGAAAATCAAGATGATGCACATGACCTTTTACTGGGGTAAAAAGGTGACCCTTTTGTTCGATTTCTGGAAAACCGATTCTTGGACCAGCTATGCATTCACCTTATTGGCCTGCCTAATTGTCTCGATCTTCTACCAATACATGGAAGACCGTCGCCTTCGGTTCAGGCTTCTCTCCACCAACAAAACAACCGTCGCCCCGCCTCCTCAAGATGGTTTTGCTGCCAATTCAACCACCACCCCTCTTCTCTACTCCAGGCTTTTGACCCCTAATGCCGGGAAACTAAGCGTTGCAAGATTTGCTGGGGCTGTTTTGTTTGGAGTCAACTCTGCCATCGGATATCTCTTGATGCTGGCCATCATGTCCTTCAATGGAGGGGTGTTTGTCGCCGTTGTTGTAGGTCTGGCTTTGGGCTATTTGCTTTTCAGGGCTTCTGATGAGGGCCTGGTCGTTGTAGATAATCCTTGCGCTTGTGCTTGAGCTTTACTCTTGCAGTTCCTATTGAATCTCTACTGATCCTATTTTATGTTTGTGTCCTGTAAATCTTAAATCAAGAAAAGGTCAATCTTCTATGGTTGTTTCAACTATATGCACAGTTTTTTTCTCTTCATTTCCTGGATTGTTTAGCTGATTTTCTGATTAGATCTGTTTTTTTAATTTTATTTTCTGACCTGATCTGTGTTTCCTATTATTCGGTTATGAACCCTTTTTTTTACTGTTCTTGATCGTTTTGGTAAGAATGGAAGGCTGATCTTCTTTGCTGTGACGGGCGAAATCTGAAGCTTGTTGGTTCAACAAAGACAGGACAAGGGATTTGCTGGCTCATTCAGAGCCAAATATTGACGTCCCACCCAGTCTTGACACGTTTGGGGAAATCACAAAATGCACAGTAGTAGTGATAGCTTCTCGTGAATTAGATCAGGTATTGGGGACCATACATGGAAGGATATTTCTGTTTAAGCTTTTGCGTTGTCAACTGGAATGGAATGTAGCAGTTATTGCAAAGTCCAAATATTTTCTTCCATCCTCATCTCGCTTTTGCGTGGAAAAAAAGCTAGCAACTAATAAACTAAACAAGTTCTTCCGAGTTCTGATCTGACACATGCCTTGATTTTTGCACAGAAGCTTCACAAACACCTAATTGGTTTTCTTAAACAATGTGGTACCCATAACCATTTAGCCGTTGACTTGCTCTCTCATTCTGGTTGAGACAGGAGAACTTAATAGATAATTAGCTTGACAACTCATTCTAACAAATTAGGTACTAGTAGGTATAGCAAATAGAATACCGATTTGGGACGGTCCAGAAGCTGCACAATCCAGACAGAAAAGCCTTTACGTCAGTTTCTAAAGACCCGTCGAGGATCAGGCCAGGCTAATTAACAAAAGAAGGAACAGGGTGATTCCTCCAAGCGTAAGATAAGGGGACAGGATGATGCCACCAAGCATAAAATATTTGTGCAGAAGATACGTCCATGTGCAGGAATTCTGGCCTAGAATAGATTTACACCACGGAGACCGGCAGAAGCATCATTGACCAGTTGTTGCACCGATTAAAAAATATACAAGTTGTTCATGCAGGGTAGGATACAGTACAGACACCACACGGAAAATAACATTGGAGGAAGCTGAATGGACATATGACCCAAAACCAAAATGGTGTAAACAAACTCAATCAATTAGGAGTTTAAAAATTCCATAATCACCAGTTACTGCACGCAAGAAAGAATGATCAATTTAATCTTCTGAGCACAAGTTAGACTTTAAAAAAATCTATAACCCAATCTTAACAGCTATCACAGTAATGCATTCCCAAGTTCCCCCAAATCCAAAGTGATGCAACGTTTGTCTATATGTCTGAGTCCATCCACTGGTATCTTCTACTTGGTACCCTCCATGTAGGCCAGATTGAATATGAGCATCGGCAGTGGAAATTTGCAGCAAAATAGACTAGAAGAAGGCCAACCAGAGAAAAAAGAACTGCCCCTCCTTCCATGACGAGAGTGAACCAGAATGCTTCAGATAATCTGTACGCTGTAGCTGTTTTGAAATACAACTAACCCCAGTGGAACTTGTAGGTGTTTCACTTAGCAGAGACAACCTCATCCAGCTAAATGTACAAGAAAATCATGTAATTGCTATTGCTGGTCCTGAATTTTTAAGGATACTAATTCACTTTCCTGTTGCTGACCTCTTGACCTCAAACTTTTTGGAAACCATTTTCTCAGCCGTTCTGGCAACCTGGAAGAAACTAACCAATCACAATGCCATACAGAGATAGAAGTATTTCTTAAGTAATAACATGAGACAGCCAAGCGGTAATAAAGCTGTCTTCACTAAACATCATGAAAAGGAAAGGAAATATGTCAATGCAGAACTAGGAAAAAGACAGCCAATAGTAGATAGAAGAACACTTGCTCTTACGAACTCTGGCAGTCAAAATAGAATCAGAATGTACAGGTGAAATCAGCACTTACAGATCCATTCTTTCATATATTGCCCTGCGTACTGAAGAGTTAAGGCCATATGCAATTGAGTTGAACAGACCCTGCAAAATGGTTTAACAAATAATTGAATCCAAATTATTGAAATAAACCTGTGTGCAGCACGATGATATGATAGTTTGACTAATAAATACTGGTAAAGCTGTACTAGGCAAGGTTCCCATCTTCTAGAACTACACATCAAGAATGTCTACCAAAACCTGACCCATGCAACATAAGCACATTAGGTACATGATGCATGACTAAACCAACACAAACAATTATCATGAGAGCAAACAACACATTCTTTTAAAATAATAGATCGACAAAGTAACAAGGAACATCAAATGAAAAGCTATCGAGGTAGAGATTTACCATGAGTGCAGCCATTCCTACATCAAGAAGAGAAAGCCAAAATATCTTGTGTCCTGGTTCAATAAAATCGTGGATGCGGTTGATTGTGCCAAAGAACCATGATCCTATTAGAATGAGAGGATAATAGCCCCAGCGGTTCAGTACCTGCACAGGACAGGGAAAGGAGAAGAAATAAAGGAGTCAAGAGAAGAAATGACCAGTTCTGAACTATTCCGCATCTGTGCAACATGTTGCTTCACAAAGTCAACTTAACAATTATCTCCACGCTTACAATTTGCATTCACACAGAATGAAGAAATGCTATGTAGTTTTTAATGCTCAGGATGGTTCAGGATTCCACAAATCTGCAACTTGTTCTGATCAATCAAATATCACCATTGCATTAATAACACTCACCTCCCTTGAGGTTAGGCCAAATTACAAGTCACATACTTGGGTTTGGCCAAACTATAAAAGATCCCTCAAACTCATGACTTCATATCGAACACCCCTGTGTTTGGCAACACATATTGACCTCCTAAAAGTGATGATGTCAGCAAAAATTTTAGAATATATATGATACCTATCATATCCCTAACCTTCCTCCTCTTCTTGCAAAACCCCACACAAGCACAAGCCTTGTCCTGCACTAAAATCCCAAAATAGATTTAGCTTGATCCTTAAATGAAGGAAGGTATATGTAATTAGCCCAAATTGAATTAAATCTCTTAAAGCCATTATGCTTGACAAGGGGTTTCTGTCTCCAGTGACACAGTCAACCAGCTTGGTTTGTATGTGTGGTTTTTTTTTTTTTTTTGGGTTGGGGGTTGGGGGGGGATTTTGAACTGGAAAGCATACAAATCAAATACTATTCGAGTTTATAAAAGACAGGAGAAAAAGGAACAAGCTGGAGGAAGTTTGAGTATTAGGTAGCTTCACTGCAAGAGAATTAGCAAAGGAATGAAGAAAACATGAACTGGACATAATTCATTTATAAATAGGCAAAGAAGACTGAACCAAGGGCATCAGCACCATATGGGGTTGCAATGATGGACTCACTAGAAACAATAACCTCTGTGCACAAGTGTCATTGACATAAAGGAAGACACAAGTTTTAGTTGACTCATCGGCAATAATGACTACAACCAAATATTTCCGCTTTTATGACATCATTAAGAACAAAAAAAAAAAATATTGTGTATGCTTCAAAGAATGATCAAAGGAAATGCAGGCTACCTTTACATCTGGCCGTGAATCAAACTGGAATATCCTCTCCGACATGCCAGCTGCCATCTGAAACACCAAAGATCACATTACTACAAGCTTGACTGTTAAAATGCCACTTTTGAATATCCAATGCCTAAACCCCCAAAGAAAAACAAATGCTGAGCAAAAGAAAAGATCTGAACTGGTCACTTACACGGGTTGCATTTTTTAACATGCGTATTACTTGGAAATAGGTGACAGCATTAAAAAGAATTGCACCCCAAAGAGGAGCATAAAATGTTATAAAGTGAACCACCTGCAGATTGAAGTAAAAATTTGAGAATAAGTACTCAAATGAACCAAAATGCAGAGCATTGAAATTGCAGACAAACTTGATACCACAAAAATCATACTTGCCTTCCCTGTACGTCCTGTTTGGGCCCAGCACCATGCTCCTATACGACTTATATGCCCATGGTCATTGCTGATAGAGCGTATTACAGTCACAACTCCTGAAGTTCCTGTTAAAGTCATCCAAGTTAGCTACCGCATAGACCAGAAGTATGAAAATGTCATGCAGTAAGCACTAAGGTAGACATCATGGTGGCTAAACATTAGGACAAAGAAACTTCTGCATTCCAGAAGAACCATTCTGATGAATGCTTTGAAAGAAGCAAACTCATTCTTAAATTTAACATCATACCCCAAACATACAAATGAAACATGGGCTCTAAATCTTCCACATCTGTTTTATGTCTAACAACGGTTCGATGAAGTGTAAAAGCAATTGTTGTTGTCCACAAAAAAGAAGCCACACAAAAGAAATGTGTGGTATAGCCTTGAGCATAACAGAAAAATCCCTTTGATGGATCCCTGCAGAACCAGAGAAATCGATTATCACATATATAAAACTTATAAGAAAGAAATGAAATCAGAATCTGATTAAACTTGACCCCCACGTGGCATCTTCCATACCCTATTATGCTGAAGAAACTACACAGCATGTCCTGCAACCAAAAAAGAACGCAAATAGATGGTCATACTCCTCCTATTATGGGCAGAATAATTGAACAGACTACTAAACATTTGAATTGGAAGAATAACAAGGAAAAACAATAGAACAGCTGAAGGTTGACATAACTATTACCCTTTCACCAAATAATTATTACCGCTCATGCAATCATGAACACCCAACAACAGTCTTCACTCACTCTAGACGCCAAATTGACAATATGGATCACATCTAACACGTGCAATTGCGAAGATCTCACTGTTTTGGCAAGTTTAACAATATATATGGCGTCATCGACGGCTTCATCATGGAGCCTTAATAAGCAGAAAATGAAATCACCATATGCACATGAAAAACAACACCAAAGAGAACTTCGAATGACTAAACTTAAGGCTGTGTTTGATTCTCTCTCACAGAACCGAATAGCTTGATTCCAATAGTCTACAATTATTGTGTCTTAAACGGAGCCGGACATTACGATTCCAAAAGTCACATTTTTCATCATCAACAATTCCAATTCAGGTCTGATTTTACAGTTAATTGTCTAACCAAATTTCCATCTTTCTAGCAGGATAAATCAAATTAATGAAAATGGTCCAACTAAATATAAAACCCTAACATTTGAGACCTTTCGAGGAATAAGTACAGAGAAAGCTTAAGCGTTTAGGAAATTCAACACAAAATGTGACGAATGCTAAGTACTATATGTTGAGGTAGTTATTAGTATCAGGAAGCTGAATAATGCTTACGGAGAGGGCGAGGAAGAAGACGAGTTTGAAGGAGAACTTGCGGAGCTCTTTGAAGAGCAAATAGCAGAGCACTATGAATCCGGAACCGATAAATGAGAAGGTGGAGGCTCCGGTGTTGACCGCCGTCAGTATTCGCCGATCACTCGCCGACAGATTCCCCATTACTGCCTGCACCGTCGCCATTCCCCAATCCCCGCCTTTTTCAATGACTTTCAGTAATATTCCGGCTAGTGTTTCACTTGATTCGATTTCTACTCCCAAAACAATTTTAACATCTCTTGTTAAAATTCACCATAAACGGCGTACTATTTCTAGTATTTCACTTGATTCGATTTTCTATTTCACCATAAACGGCGTATTATTTTCTGCTGCAGTAACTAATCACAGCTAATAGAGTTGCCGGTTTTGAGGTGTCTTCTGGATAAAGGTTAATAAGCAAAAGTTTCGCCGTTTCGATAAAAAACCTAATCACAGCTAATAGTGGGAATCTAATTTAGTCCTTTGCGTTTGCGTACTCTTCAGTTCCAGTTTCCTTAATCGTTTTCCACAGCAACATGTCGCTTTGGCCGAGTGGTTAAGGCGTGTGCCTGCTAAGTACATGGGGTTTCCCCGCGAGAGTTCGAATCTCTCAGGCGACGTATTTCCTTTTATTTTTTACTTCTTTTTTATAAATGCACAAGCAGATTTGTTTCGCAAGATCTTTTAAATTTCTTTTTTAAATGTACAAGCGGATTTTATTTGGCAACGTATTATAGGCAAGTTTTAATATTGGCCCAGAGGGATTAATATGTTACTGTTGAAAGAGCAGAACTTTTAAAACTTGAGCTCAACTTAATTAACTATAGGGTCTAGATTTTTTGGATTCAAGCTCGATTAAAGAAAGGCTTTCGGTAAATTTTAATATCTCTTTTAACAATAAAAGTAACTTTTCAAAATAAAGATTAAAACAAATATATGAATATACTACTCGATCAAACTCGCAAAGTAATCGAGGTACTTGTTTTTATACTTGTACTTAGCTGGGGGAGGGTTGGATTGGGTGGTACGAGGGAAGGGAGTGTAAGTGAGAGGTTTTGGGTTCGAATCCTCCTGCTCACACTTAAAAAAAAAAAATACTCGTACTTAGCTTGAATTTTTTATCCAATAACACTTAAACTTGACTCGAACTTATTCAACATCAAATCTATATCCAACGGTTGACTACCATGATTATGTCCCAGTTGAGCTCTCTCCCAAACACAAGAAATATTTCAATGCATGTAAAACAATTCAGGACCTTCGGGCGTTGTAAATAGTATATAAGATCTAATAGAAAGCTGGATGCGCCTAAGCCCTTGTCTATTGATACTTGTATCTGCTGATCTTTCGAGGCATTTGGAGCCAGGAGAAGTCTACTTAATCTCACCTTTCTTCCTGGATACCAATGGCCACAGCTGTAACTTGGACCAATCTACCATCTATGTGCATTGACAGACAAAGGACCTGTTTGGTTGGTCCATGTTTGGAACCTGAGTTTTTTAGAAGTTTGTATAAAACTTTACCGTAGTGTACTGTAGAAGTTTTTGAAAAAAAATTTTTAAGATGAAAAACTTTTTTTTTCTTTTCTTTCCTCTTCCTCTTCTTTTTCTTCTTCCTTCCCCCTGGCCCTTCCCTCCCCCGTTACCTCTGCCTCCGACGAACCAGCAGCCTTGTTCAAAAAAAATTTTTCTTTTTTTCTTTTTTTCTTCCCCTCTTCTCCCTCTCTGCTCCCCTCTCTCCCTCTACTCCCCTTCACCTTCCCCCTCTCCCTCTCGAAGTCAGAGAACCAGCAGCCATGGCATGCACAATTTTTTTTTTTTTTGCTTTTTCTCTCCCCATCTTCTCCATCTCCCTTTTTGTGCAATGGGTTATTAGATTGGGTTCGGGACTGTCGGCGAAAGTTAGTTGCCACGGGTTGCGTCGGCAGTCGTGGCTGCTGTGGGTTGCGAGGGAGAGATAATGGAGGAAGCGGCGGGTGGCACGCGGCGAGGGTTGGACAGCGAGCGTTGGTGGCCGAGGGTTGGCGGCGACTGTTCAACGTTGGTGGGGAGGGTGGCCAGGGAGGGGAGGGGGAGAGGGGAGGGAAGGAGAGGAAGAGGGGAGAAGAGGGGGAGAGGGGAGGGAAGGAGAGGGAGAGGGAGAAAGGAAGGAAAAAAAAAAAGAGAAATGCCGGCACCGGAATAGGTGGCGGCGGCAATGGCTGGCGATGATGGTGTGGTGGATTGGGGTGAGGGAGAAAGAAGAAGAAAAGAGGAAGTTTTTTGTGTATTAGATATTTTGAAATGTGTAGGTTAAAAAATTTGATAAGTTTTTTTGGATTCCTATAACAAAAGTTGTTAAAAAACTAATAGCTAAAAAACTTGGTGAAAAACTAGGCTTCCAAACAGGCCTTTCTGGCCAAGACAACTTGTTACAAGTTTTTTAATACCTTTAACTACTGTAACTTGAAAAAAACTTCTCAAAAATTTTAAACTATATATTTCAAAATATCCAAAAATTTACACACTTCAAAATTTTTTCTTACAATTTCTTCTGCAGTAAGTTACAGTAAAATTTTAAACAAACACTCAAAAAACTTATTTGCCAAACGGGCCTAAGTTTCTCAAAGCATGATTGATTCAGTACCCTTACACATTATGTGTTTGACACTGTGGCCAATTTTATAGTTGTAGACAATGGAATTTTAATTAAATTCTAAAAATTACCATTGGTCTATTAAAATATTTTTGTCCAATCGGATATTGCTATATGTCATGTACACTTGGAAAATTTGGTTATTAAGCAGCCAATTATATTTTGCCACGTGTTAAGGTGAGGTGTTCCAAATCAATTCAAATTGCAGGGGTATCTCCACCAACCAAATCATATCATATCATGTATTTATTGGATAAATATCTAAGTATTTATTTCTTATTAAAGGGATAATATTTAGAATTGTTTAATCCAAGTATATCTCTTATATACTGCAATGGCCTGGCCAGTAAAATGGCGCCACGTCACGTGTCCCCACAAGTCTGGCCAATCGAGAAATTACTTATCTCTTTATTAATGAAGAGATAATATTTAACTGGCACAGTCCTAATATGACTGTACGTCTTGCTAGGCAAGTAGAGTGGTGTACATGATCTCAACCTCCACCTCTTGCTACAACTATAAATAGAGGTCTCTCAACCAAGTTAAGGGGACACAGAGATATCAAGAAGCATCTCATACACTCAAGTATTGAAGCTTCAAGCTACGAAGGTCTGGGTCTCAAAGCTCCTCAAGTCTCCCGCATATCAAGGCTTGAGCCTTCAAGTATTTTCAAATCCTTCAAATCTTCCATATCAAGATTTGAAGGAATCGGTGGTGGATCCAAGAACAAGCTGCGAAGCCCTTGGATTGGCGTTCGAGGAGAAGAATCGAGGGAAACTCTCCACAAGTTCGAGAAAACCCCAGAGATTGTACCTACATTCTTTTCTAAATTTATATATCATATATTTGTCGTGTATTTTTCGTGTCGTTTTGCAGATTTGAAATTTTATCGCGTACAAATTTTTGGCACGCCCGGTGGGACCATCTCTGCCTTCCATCTCTTCTCCTCGAATATTTAACTACGTCTATCACCAATGGCACCAAAGAGCAACAAAATCATGATTGCACGTTCCAAGGCTACTGATGCTAAGCTTGTTCAGGAAGCTGCACACGTTGCCACCAATACCCGCGTTATTGGCCCCGTGACAAGGAGTATGACGAGAGCCTCCACCCAAAGTAGCATAGAACCCTCGGCGCCAACTCCCGTCTTCGGGTCAACATCACAAATGAGCTATTCCTCCACGATGGGGGTCCAAGACGTTTTCACCTCGATTGAGAAGGCTCTTGTCATGCTCGAATTTGGATCCGAACCCAAATTTTATAAGCATGACGATGATTCATCAAGCACTGGATCAGCCTCTTCACATGAAACTCTTCATTCAAGATTTTGTATTGAAGATTCTGCTGCTTCTTCTGCTGCAATGCCAGCCATGATGACAAATACTTTAAGTCTCGAAGAGCAGGTTTCGAACATGTCCAAGATGATGGAAACCATGATGAAACACGTTAAGGACCAAGATGCTCTCATTGCTCAACTGCTCACCCAAAAAGATCATGCTCGTGAAGGAAGCCATGCGAATCATAAGGAGCACCAAGAGCGTGAAAAAGGTAAAGACAAGGTGAAGGAAGTATATGTGACCGCCGATGGAGCTATTCCCGTGGAACAACTGAAGGAGCTTGTTGAAGGCGTGATCAAAGATAAAAAGGAGGGTGGTTCAAAGTCAAGCTTTACCTACTGCAAGCCTTACACTGCTAGAATTGACAACCTAGCAATGCCCGCTGGATATCAACCGCCTAAATTTCAACAGTTCGATGGGAAAGGCAGTCCAAAACAACATGTGGCCCATTTTGTCGAAACTTGTAATAACGCTGGAACCTATGGTGACCTGCTAGTCAAACAGTTCATCCGATCCTTGAAGGGCAACGCATTTGACTGGTACACTGATCTCACTCCGGGGTCCATCGACAGTTGGGAACAACTGGAACAAGAATTCTTGAATCGCTTCTACAGCACTAGAAGAACCGTCAGTATGCTGGAATTGACTAACACTCGTCAGTGGAAGGATGAACCTGTGGTCAACTATATTGATAGATGGAGAAGTCTGAGTCTCAACTGCAAGGACAGACTGTCTGAACCCTCTGCCATAGAAATGTGCATCCGAGGAATGCATTGGAGCCTAAGCTACATTCTGCAGGGTATACGCCCAATCACATTTGAAGAATTAGCTACTCGTGCTCATGACATGGGGTTAAGCATCACGGCCAATGCAACCGATGGGTTTCCTATTCAAGCTCCGCGAGTGCAGCCGCCTCGTCAAAGCAATGACAGGCAAGAAAATAAAAATGGGGGCAAGCCTCCTTCAAGATTCAATAATAAGGAGTCCATGGCAATAAATACAGCTCCCATGAAAATTGCTACCAAAGTGAGCCGAAAGGTTACTGAGAAGTTGGATCTATCTCAAAATAGGTCAGTAAGAAGACCCACGTTGAAAGAGATGCAAGAAAAAGAATACCCATTTCTTGAATCCGACTTACAAGGGATGTTTGATGACCTTTTCAAGGAAAAACTCCTTGAACTTCCTGAAATGAAGCGCCCAGAGGAAGCCGGTCAAGTCAATGATCCAAACTATTGCTGTTATCATCGCCTGATTGGCCACCCTCTCACTAAATGCTTTGTCTTTAAAGACAAAATTATGGAATTGGCCCGTCAAGGAAAGATCCTCCTCGAGTAAGACAAAGCATCGGCAAACCAAACAACAATAATGTTTGGGTCTGTGTGTTGTCCGATAGAAGTTTTAGCCACAACAAGCAGTGCTTCTTCCAAGGAGGTTGAAAAATCCTCAATT